AAATCTAGTTTCCTCAAACTGATATAGCTATAGTTCTCTTCCAGGAAAGCTGTATTGGCTAGGAGTTATAGGAGATGTAGGCAACGCATCTGGGTGAAGCAGACTGGGAAATGTTGCTCTAGTGTACAGTGCAAATTGCACATACTAAAGAATGTTATACATATGTTACTGTCCATGTGTGAAATTAGGCATTTTATAGAATAGAAATGTATAGAATGCCAAAAATGGGACATCAAAGTATGAAACGCTTAACATTTCACACATTCCTAGGCATTCTATGTAATGCCAAAAGGAAAACTAGCAAAATATAAAATACTTCCACTAAAATGCCACTCTAGCCTTCCTTGTTGCAACAAATAGGTCAATACTGGTCTTTTTATCTTGTTTATTTCAGTAAGAAAATCCTGTACTTTATTTTGCATTTCTTCTTTCATTTTCATATAGGTCTTTTCAATAGAGGATTAACCCTTTTCATAATTCTCTTTTCACACTTTGCCTAAATAATTCTTGTCATTCTGCATAATACCTAGGTGTCACACACAATGCCTAGGGAAAATGCTATAAAGCCTATTAAAATAACACAGACATTTCAATCTTTGCCTAAAAATGTCACACATTCTATAGTTTTCCTAAGCATTCTACACAATGCCAGCTTTTCACTCATTGCTAGAAACATATACACTTTTTTAGATCCCGTTTCCTTTCAAGATCTCACAATCTTTGAAATACCCCAATCCTGGAGGTCTTATTTAAGTTGTTACAGATGACAACTGAAGAGATGAGCACTCCAAACAAAACAATCTGAATTTCCTGCTACTAATTTTGTGGAAGTGTTTTATTTATACTTTTTTCCAAGAATTAAGTCTGTGTGATCTCAAATCGTTTCCATATGTGGCAACTTTCTTGTATTGTAAGGGCTACATATTTGAACATAAGAGCAAAAACAACAAATGGAATCTGATTTGATTGCTGTAGCCAAGAAAATATAATTCTATTGAACATAACCTATTTACAAAGTTTGCTTTTATAGTTCTTTTTTATTAAATCCTTGATAATTTACTTTGTGAGAAGGTTGGAAATCACATTATATAAGTATTGTTCTACACTTGGTTCAGGTATAATGGCCATCTCTGGCTCAAAACAACTGATGGGAAAATATTATCTGAAATACACCTCCCTGTGGAAGAAACAGGATTATGAGCCACAGTGGTGCAGTGGTTAGAGTGCAGTACTGCAAGCTACTTCCTGACTGCCAGCTGCCTGTAATTTGTCAGTTCAAATCTCATCAGGCTCAAGGTTGACTCAGCCTTCCATCCTTCCAAGGTGGATAAAATGAGGACCCAGATTGTTGGGGGCAAGAAGATGACTCTGTAAAGCAGTTTAGAGAGGGCTGTAAAGCACTGTGAAGTGGTATATAAGTCTAAGTGCTATTGCTATTTTGATAAAATCAAAACTGCAGAGACCAAGTGCTGAGCCTAACAAGTCACACTGAAGCAGGATTCCAATGAAGCCTGAAAATCACAGTAGTTTTTGTGGACCTGACCATGGCCTTACAATACAGTCTGGGAGGAAGGTTTACTATACAAATTTCAGCTGAGTATCCCATGCTGTGCTGCCCCACTCACTCACATACATATAAGTAAGTGTGTTTCAGAGAGTTTATTAATGTTCCCCAGCAGTTCCCTTCACCCAGCCTCAGAACTGTCCAAAATAAAGTCAGCCACAAGCAGGCCAAGATTAGTCCACAAGGCAATGTCCATAAAACAATAGAAAGTTGCTCCAAAAAGTAAGTCCACCAAACAAATTTAAATCTACCAGGCAAAACTGAAAGTACATCCACAAGAACTCACTTAGCAAGAGAAGTTCAGAGTCTCCAAGGTACCAAGTCAAGCAGGAAGCACGAACAAACACACAGCCATTAAAACAAAACACGTTGTGCCCAGCAATGCCTCCCTCTGCCTGTCGTAATAAGTAGTTTTCCGGTGCAGCCCATCAAGATGGGCAGGGCCTTCTCCCAAGTAATCTGGCAGATCTCCTTTGCTCTTGCCTTTTCTCTGCCATGTTAGCTCTCGGATCCAACAGGGAAGGCAGCTCCTCCTCCTCCTCTTCATTGATGTACAAACTGTCCCCAGCTGAAGCCCCCCATAAATCACTTTCATTCGGCAGTTCAGAGTCATTAATTAACCCAGTTCCTGACCTATCAGGAATGAGCTTATCCTCCCTTGAGCCAGCCTCCAAGGAAGAATAAGGGAAGTTGTCCAAGGGAGACATCATACATGCCAAGGGACATAAAGATAAAAAATATCTCAAGATGTAGAAGACAGAATTGAAATTCAAAGAAGTTTTGATAAATCTAAGAAATGAGCTGAAAATGACAAAATGAACTTTATCAGACAACTGCAAATTTCTTCCTCTAGGAAGCAAAAGTCACATGCAAATATCCAGCTTAGCACTAATACTTGTGAAAAAATGTTGGAACTTCAATTATGTTTTAAAAACAACCAAAGGAATGAAATTCTCCAAATCAGCAAAAATGAGAAACAACAGAATATACAGAATATATAAAGAGAATGTATAAAGAGGAAATTACTCAGCCCAATTTTTAAACATATTAAACTTTGACCACACAACACAATAATGATCAATTTTTCCTTTATACAAACAGAGAATCAATATATAAATATAATATACTCCCATATTGTTGTGGGAGTATATCATACATTGCTTAGAAAATCAGAGGAGGTGGGTGAGGTCTTTCAGTTCACTTGACTAAAAATTCAAGAAAAGACCACAACAGTAACAATGGAAGATTACAATTCACTCTTCTTTTGTGTGCCTTTGCATAACATTACTTTACTCTGAAAGGAACAGAGTGATGGATGCTTTAAGCTGCTGAAAGTTCATCACAGCATAGAAACTGTAGACTGTTTGTATTGCTTAGTGACAAACATCATTAACCTCAGAATTGGGGGGAAATAAAAACAGTTCTTCCTTCCACCATCAAAGAGTAAGCCATTTGTCTCTTTAACTTCTCTTGTTCATAGAAAACTCTTAGTTTGGCAGAAAGCAGAAATAAAAAAGCATTACAATCTTCACAACAGCAAAGCTGGAAAGTCATTTTGATTGATTTGCTAGGTAGAAAGAAAATTAAGCCTAGTTATTTGATGCAGAAAATACCTCCAAGGGACCTGCAGCTTAAGCTTAGGTGGTTTAAAAAGCTAAACAATTTTCAAAATGATTATGGCCATTTCAAAGAGGACAGATTATTTAGAACAGATTGGAGTTGCCTGCAAGGATTTTATTATGTCCTGCTGTTTTTTAATGTATTCATTTATTATTTTATTTGTATCCCACATTTTTATTTTTACAAATAACTCAAAAGTGGTGAACCTATTCAACACATCTTCCTCCTCCTATTTTCCCACTGTAGTATGAGTTGGGATGAGAGTGAGTGATTCAACTGACTTCCATATGTAAAGTGGGACTAGAACTCATGATTTCCCAATTTCTAGCCTGGTGCCTTAACCACTAGACCAAATTGGCTCAGTGTTTTAACAGAATAACACAGTTGTTGTTAGGAAATTTCTCCTTAGTTCTAGGTTGCTTCTCTCCTTGATTAGTTTCCATCCATTGCTTCTTGTCCTGCCTTCGGGTGCTTTGGGGAATAGGTTTACCTCTTCTTCTTTGTGGCAGCTCCTTAGATATTGGAACACTGCTATCATGTCACCCCTGGTCCTTCTTTTCACTAGACTAGACATACCCAATTCCTGCAACCTTTCTTCATGTTTTTAGCCTTCAGTCTCCTGATCATCTTTATTGCTCTTCTCTGCACTTTTTCTAAAGTCTCAACAATTTTTTAATATTGACCAAAATTGGATGCAATATTCTAAGTGTGAAAGATCAAAAATCAAAGTGTCAAAGTATTATAAAGTGGTGCTAACACCAGGGGTAGGATTCAATTTTTTTAACAACTGGTTCTGTGGGCATGGCTTAGGTGGTGGGTGTAGCTTGGTGGTCATGTGACTGGATGGACATGGCTTGGTGATCATGTTATTGGCTGGACGTGGCCAACTCAATATCACTCACATCGAGGCACGCATCTCCTCGCCTGGCCTATCATGACTGTGGGGATGCTGCAGCAATCGTAAGTGTGAAAAATGGTCATAAGTCACTTTTTTCAGTGCCATTGTAACTATGAATAGTCACTCCACACAAGCAAAGTACCAGCAAAGGAACAAAAAAAAACTCCAGAGAAGTTCCAGAGATAGGAATTCTAGTCCTGCCAAGAATGTAATAAGGGTTAACGGAGAGGCAGTTTCTGTAAGCAACACCAGAATGTTTCCTTCCTGCCTTCTTTACAGGATTAGGCCAGTAATTTCTTCTAACAACCGGTTCTCCGAACTGCTTAGAATGTTAACAACCGGTTCTGGCGAATAGGTACGAACTGGTAGAATCCCACCTCTGGCTAACACCTACATGATCTTGATTCTATCCCTCTGTTAACGCAGTCTAGGACAGTATTGGGGGGGGGTTGTTGTTGGGTTTTTTTGCAGCTACAACACACTGCTGGCTCATATTTAAGAGATTATCACTAGGACTTCAAGATTCCACTCAGTGAGCTAGATACTACCAATATTGTATCTATGCGTTTATTTTTTCTTGCCTAAATGTAGAACCTTACTTTTTTCACCACTGAATTTCATTTGGTTAGATAGGGCCCAGTGCTCAAATCTGTCAAGATCCTTCTGAGCTATCTTCTAGAATATTGGCTATTCCTACCAGCTTGGCATCTGCTAATTTGATGAGTTCCCCTTCTGTCTCCTCATCTAAATCATTGATGAAGATATTAAAGAGTGCTGAGTCTAAAACAGAGCCTTGGGGTACCCCAGTGCATACCTCCCTCCATCTAGATGCAGTTTCATTAAGGACTATTGAATACAAATCCATCTGGTGGTGATTCTCTGTATAACTTTGTGTTCTTCAAAATGATTGATATGAAAGTATTATAAGTGCCAAAGTATTTGTGCACAGAGCAAAGCTGCTTTCTCACTGCTTGCCTCTTCTTGCTCATGGTATTTCCCATTTGATTTCTTGGAGCTCAGCTAGATGAAAACTGATAGCAGAAGAGCTCTAAAAGCTGCCTTGATGAGGCAACCCTATTTTTAACAAGGGTAGCTCCCCACACCATCTCAATCCTAACTCATCCAAGCTTGCTTTCCTGACAGCTCGTATGAGCGAGTGTGCAACTTTGGGTGCCTTCCTTTCTTCTTATGGGGAGGGAGAGACCTGTCCAGCCCCAGATCATACAAAGAGACACTTCCCCTTGAAAAGATGCAGAAGTACACCAAGTGGATTGAAACTGAAGCCTGCCTGATTTACAAGTGACATCATGAAAAGAAGTCCAGAGCTAGAACACAGCAGCTGCCGTTTTCAGTTACCATCACCTCCAAAATGCTGTGTCTTAGGGAATGGGTGGGTGGGAGAAATTGGCTTTCAAGCGATAATCTGACAGGGGATCTGATGAAACACCTTTTAAAAAAATCTTTTCATCTATTCACTTCATTTTCTGCACTGGCTGTCTTTTAGCACAGGCTGTCATTGTAGCTGAGGATTGGAGGTAATATTTCTTCAGTCTGAAATGTGATACCATGGTTACTATTCATGTTGCATGTGTATGGCTGATCTAGTGTATCTTGTGCTTTAGCATTGCAATTATATTACATACAAACACACAAATATGTTTGCGCTGGCTTGTACAAACAGATATTGATACACCCAACCCAAAACAAGCATGTCCTGTTAATATATAAAGGTGGTGTAACTAGTTTAGGTTGTCATTTTGTGGTAGAAATTATGTTCCTCTTTACTTATATGCATTATACTCCCATTCACTCATTGGTGAAGTTTTTTTTTCTCTGTAAATTGTGGCAGAATTTTGAATGTTGAGATTTTATCCATTCATTCTCTTTCAATATAATTTTAAAACAAGATGCAATATCCCAACATCCTTCAAACATAGTGTGCCCTGGAAGGGAATGAAAACTATTAGTACAGGTATTAAGCAATATATCTTCACCAGAAGGGTTTTTTCCCAGATGGACCAGTTCTGCTAAATGACTCCCTTTGTGGTTACAAGCATTGTTTGTTTGATTGGAGCATATTTATAGCAACAAACAAAGCTATATTGTGAGATATTGGCTTAGTGGCAGCTGTTGTGTGAAGTAATATAATTCATCAGAATTTCAAATTCATACCCATCAAAAAAAAAATTCCTTCCTTCCCTTTTTTCTGTCTCTTTCCTCCTTTCTTTCTTTCCTCTTTTCTTTCTTTCTTTCCTTTCTTTCTTCCTCGCCCTCCTTCCCCCACCCCTCTCTCTTTAAAAAAAAGTGGGGGCTTGGGTTTAAGATCAGCCAAAGAAGTTACCATTTCTGTTTGAGGATTTCAAACCAACTTACATTATTGCAATCTTTGTGGATAGTTTAGACGAGGTAATTTGTAATGCTGGCAGATTATGGTTATTTAGTCAAGATAGATTCTGAATTAGACAGTCAGTGAGGTATAGCGGTTAAGGCAACAGACTAGAAACCAGGAGACACTTGAGTTATAGTCCCGTCTTGGGCAAATAGTTGATTCTGTGTTGTTCACTGGATACATACGGCCTGGCCTAAAACAATAGACATGAATTTCCTAAATAGGATGCAGGCAACATGGTGAGACCCTTCTCAGTCTCTGCTCAGCACTAGCTCTGGACAAACATTTCAGGGACTGCACATGAACTGCCTATTCCCTTGACCCCACTCCAAAAAAATCATCCTGCACCATTTTCCTTCTAGTGCTCTCTCTCTCATACACACACACACTTTTCATTCACACATTAAGCCAGTTCTCAACTTACAACCATCCATTTAGCAACTGTTCGAAGTTACAATGGCACTGAAAAAAGTGACTTTCAACTAGTCCTTGCCCTTATGGCTACTGCAGCATCCCCGTGATCAAAATTTGGGTTCTTGGCAACTGGCACGTACTGACCTTCCCAGCCAACTTCCAACGAGCAAAATCAGTGGGGGAAACACTGACACACCCAACCCAAGACCAATAGGTAATAATAGAACAAGCATGCCCTGTTAATATATAATTATTTACATGATTACTTAGCAGCTGCAGTGATTCGTTTCACAATTGTGGTTAAAAAAAACAAAACTGGTTGTAAAATCAGGTGTGACAACCACCTTGTTTAGCAATGGAAATTTTGGTCCCAATTGTGGATGTAAGTCGAGGACTATTGCAACGGGTGCTCTTATTCTCAGTGAAGCCCCTTCCATGTACTCATTCTCTTTCCCACGGGCAAGTATGCCACGCCTCTGAGGGAATCTCCAAGCTGCGCTCAAAGGAATCCTAACCCTTGGGGTAACTGTACAGTAGAGATAAAATCATTACACAGCCATCTATAAAATCATTTTATTTTTCTAGAAACAATTTCCGATTACTACTAACAGTGGTTGCTTGATACTTGATACTAAAAAAAACAAAAAACCAGAAACTCAGCAATGATGTTATTTTAGCTTTCATTCATTAAAGCTTCCTTCTTTGGCATGAACTGCACACTTTTCCTACAGAATAATGTACAACTGAAAGAATGAAATTCTATTTGTGAGAATGGTCTCCAATAGACAACCAGCTAAATATGAGCCTGCCGTGTGCAGCAGCAGCCAAAAAAGCGAATGCAATCCTAAATTGCATTAACAGAGAGATAAAACTGAGATCAAGTGAGGTACTAATACCGCTCTATAAAGCCTTAGTAAGACCACACCTAGAATACTGCATCCAGTTTTGGTCACCACACTATTAAAAAGATGTTGAGACTCTAGAAAAAGTACAGAGAAAAGCAACCAGGATGATTAGGGGACCGAAGACTAAAACATATGAAGAATGGTTACAGGAACTGGGCATGGCTAGTCAAGTGAAGAGAAGGACCAAGGGAGACATGATAGCAGTCTTCCAATATTTGAGGGGCTGCCACAGAAGCACCCAAAGGCCAGACAAGGAATAATGGATGGAAACTGAACCAGGAGAGATTTAACCTGGAAATAAGGAGAAACTTTCTGACAGTGAGAACAATCAACCAATGGAACAGCTTGCCCTCAGAAGTTGTAGGAGCGCCATCACTTGAGACCTTCAAGAAGAGATTGGACTGCCATTTGTCAGAAATGGTGTAGGGTCTCCTGCTTGGGCAGGGGGTTGGACTAGATGACCTACAAGGTCCCTTCCAACTCTGATTATCTGTTATCTATTATAGATACACATAAGGGCGAAGAAGGAACCTGGCTACAGTTTTTAGCACTGTCAGTTTCATGACTGATAAATCATAAAGAAGTTTCCCATTCTGTTAGCATACTACAGGTAGTCCTCAACTTATGACAATTGAGCCCAAAATTTATGTTGCTAAGTGAGATATTTGTTAAGTGAGTTTTGCCTCATTTTACAACCTTTCTTGCCACAGTTGTTAAGTGAATCCTGCAGTTCTTAAATTAGTCACACAGCTGTTAAGTGAATCTGGCTTACCCATTGATTTTGCTTGTGAGACAGTCGCAAAAGGGGATCACATGCAACCATCATAAATATGAGTCAATTGTCAAGCATCTCAATGTACATCACATGACCATGGGGATTTTGCAATGGCCACAAGTGTGAGAAAATGGTCATACATCACTTTTTTCAGTGCCTTTGTAACTAAATGTCACTAAATGAACTGTTGTAAGTTGAGGACTACTTGCATCTCCATCTCATCTCACTTGAAAAGAAAAACGCAAATGACATTTTGAATCGTTCTTTCATACACCATGATTTTCAGCAGGAAACTTTCTTTTATCTACTACAGTATCTGTTTCCTGCTTTGGAGACAGAAAATTCTCAGAGCAAGGTTATTTTTAAAAAAAAGTTTTTTAAAAAATGTAATTAATATTTGTACTGGAAAGACTTCATCCTCAGAAATCCTGCCTCCAAGTAAAGTCTCTTATAGCACTTTAAAGACCAGTGATTGTCGCATCAATTCTCAGTGGGATTTCCTGTAAAATACCAATAATGTTTCTATATATATATGCGCAAATGACATATATAGCTTCCATTTGGGGGGCGGGGTGGACTTGAGAGCAACCTTCCAACTCCACCACATCCTGAGAGTTTTAAGTCAAAAGCCGGGGTGGGTAGCAAACCTTCGAGTGGCCAATGGAAGACAGCAAAGAATATCCACCCCAGATGTGGCACCCTAGTCAAATGCATCTGGAAGGCACCAGGTTGGGGAAGCGGCTAATAATATGAACTTATCAGCATGGGCGGAGTCTTCTCCTCCCCCTTGTAACCACCGATTATCCCCACTTCCTGGATATGGCGGCAAATCAAACGGATTGCGTTGCAAACGGAGCAGTGATGGCAGCGTTGTCGGAAGGAGGCCACGGCGGCTATGCAAAGCTGGACCGTTTCCCTTAGCAGGCCTCGGACCGGCTGCTGGCTGTGAGGGTCGCCGTACTGTATCGGCGGCGAAGCGGCTCCCACTCCACGAGCTTTCCCCACCATCTCTTGCGTCCTCCCCACCTTCCCCTTCGGGCGCGGCGCTTCCTTTTTCACTCGTCTCAGCCGCGGGGTTGACAGCGGGAGATCCAGGGGCACCGGAGAACATGCCGTTCCAGATGTGGACAAAGCCACCCCTTGCCATTTGTGCACCGTCTGTCGTCGGTTGGTTGGGCTTCAGATGTCTGCCGTGCCTCCTTTGGGCCGCAGGGGGTGGTAGACTCTGGCGAAAAAAGACCAATGCGCCGGGTAAGTGGCCAGGGATTGCGAGAGGTGCTTCTCTTTTTCCCGAGCTTTGTGGTAAGGTCACTTGAGGGTGGATGCTTCCCTGAACTTGATGGCTACGTTTGGAGCCCTCCTGGTCTTTGCAGCCATTTCTGACCCGTTGTGTTTTTTCTAATAAGACGAAATTGCAAGATGAGAATGAACTCTTTTCTTGCTGTCATTATTCCTATGGTGCTTTTTTTAAAAGTTTTTTTAAGTATCAGGAGGAACCTGAAATTAGGAGGCAACTGAAAGGGAACAGTTAGTCATATCACCTTGACATCTTCCTGTTTAATTCCTTGCACTGGTTGCTCTCGTTCACTGTAACGGACGATCTGGAGTTGGAGAAACAATCTCATCTTTTCTGACACCAAGAGCTTAATCAGTCTTACAAATCTGATGGTTTTATACTAAATCAGAAGTCTAGCCTCCCGTATTGAAGTAATCCTGTTAAGCTATTCAATTTGATTACCAATGTTACTTAGTTTGATATGCTTTCTGATTTAATCTGCAATCTGGAAGATTTAAAGCAAAATTCTTTCTTTCACTGCTTGGGGATATATCACATTAAGTTAGTATCAGTTCACACCAGCAAACTTGCTGGTTTTCCACAACTTTAAAGTGACTCAGAAAAGAATGTATTTCCCTCATTTAGAAGGTCCCAACTGTGTTTGAATGTTATTTTGCACTTACAAATATATTAATTCAGAAAACTGCAGTGAAAAATGGAACAATGGGATGCTATTGGCTATCAGCAATCGGAATGAGAAACCTATGAAATGGTACAATAGGACCTATGTAGGCATCCAGTTACTGAAGCTGCATTTTATGGGGGGAGGGGGAGGAAAATGTTAGGAATATGAGTCACCTAACAGCTATTTGGGTTAGAAATATATAAACCAGGATAAACATTTTAAAACTGTATCTTTAAGAAAATGCAAAACTGTAATTAGGTGTGGTTTCTAAAATGGCCATAAAATGGAGCCAGAAACCTGGTTTGTTTTAGTCTTAATCTCAGAAGAGGGTGTGTCTCAGTCTCTGTTTCCTTCTGTTGGAAAGTATTGCTGTTCCTCCATTTTTCCTAATTGATATTTCTGGATTTAATGTAAGTCTGATACTGAACTGTTTTTGACACTGGACTTTGTTATTGGATTATCCCTGGATTGAAAAACTGACTGATTTACCTGTGAATGACTTTTGGACTGCTTATCTTGAACTTTGCTTAAACTTTCTGGAAGTAAAAACCTACATTTACTGTACAGTGTATCTGTGTACTGTGTGTGTATTATTCAAACACTTCTCTCAAATACATCTCCCTGTATGCGCTCATTTTCCTAACGGGGAATTACCTCAACAGAAACAGGCTCTTAGAGGTGAGTAAATGCAGATTTCCCAGTAATTGCCCTTTATTTAACATATTCCCTCTTTATTTAACATAAAGAGAAATTTCCTAACAATGAGAACAATTCAGTGGAATGGCTTACCTCTAGAGTGTGTGGGTGTTCCTTCACTGGAGGTTTTCAAGAAGAGATTGGACAACCATTTTGTGGAATGCTATAGGATCCCCTGCTTGAGCAGGAAGTTAGACTAGAAGACCTCCAAGGTCCCTTCCAGCTCTGTTGTTCTGTATTCTGAATACAACTCTAATTATCTCCAGACGGTATGGGAATTCTGATCCAACAAGCTAAAGGGCATTAACCTGACAGACTGAATAAATAAATTAGATATATTATGATATGACTTTGGCAGCCAAGAAATAGCTTTGATTTTCACAGATGCATTCCTTTCACTGAAATCCATCTGCCCCACATAAATAGTTTTAGAAATTCAGATTTCTGAATTTGGGTAGGCTGCATATTTTAGGTAATATGTGCATTGCTTTTATTAATTAGCAGAGGAATAGGCCAAAGTTTCTTTGAGAAGCTCAAAGGCTGTTGGAAAGGAGCATTCAGTTGCCATTGCATCAATAAGTGGGCAGATTGTGTAGGTCTTTGGTGAAACGTGTAACCATGGGAAGAATTGCAGGAACTGGCATAGTTTGGAAAAGAAGTGGTGGTTTTCAAAAGAAAAAGAATACCAGGATTTTTAAATATTATGATACGATGTTCTGTCTTGTCATTTTCTTCTTGTTGTTGTTGATTGATCTGAGCTTTATCATATCCTTTCCTCAAAAGACTCCTGAATTGGGAAAAATCAACATGAAAGGTGAAGAAACTCGGCAGCGTAGAAAGGAAGGCCGAATCAGGAACGGAGAGCGATCCAGGCAGAAAGCAAAGAGCAAAAGTAAACACAAAGAGAGCAAACTTATCAGCCAGGGCGCAGAGGATGGCCCTTTGCTCCTGCCTCAGAAGCAGCCTCCAGAGGCAAAAGTGGCCATGGCAAAACTACAGGAGGAATCAAGCGTGGCAATTGGCCTCCAGGTGCTCTTGCCTTACCTGCTGGCAGGCATGGGCATGGTCCTGGCGGGAATGGTCTTGGATTATATTCAGGTAAGATGAACAGGAATTCTGGGCATCTGCTTTGCTGCATTTGGTTGCCTAGGAAGAAGTTTGACCATGTGCGGGGTTGGGGTTGGGGTTTTTTTTTTTTTTTTTCATACAGCCCAATGACATGTAAACAATAGCATCTTATCTGATTTTGAGGTCTCCTTGCTCAGAGTTGCATTTTGTTGGATGCTGCGTGTGTGCACAGGGGAGTAAGCCTCCATAGTTAATGCATATTTAAATCTAAGTGATTATACAAGTGCTCAGTTTTTAAGAGTATGTTCTATGTGCATTTGAATATAAAGTTGATAGACACAGTACCTGTGCATGCATTTGGATGGTGCAAAAACTTTTCCAGTGGCCTTCTTTTATATCATCCAGATGGGTTGCACTAAATTTTCCATAATAGTTCAGCCAGCACATCAGTGGGCATTATGAAAGTAACAGTGCAACACATTTGAAAGGCTCCAGGTGTATGGGGGGAGTGGGAGCTTTTCTGGAACAACTTCCAGCTAAGAAGATTTATAACATTCAGTCTAATGTCATGTTCAATTACATGTGATCCAAATCAAACTTCTATCATTTCTTAGGGTTTTTAAAAATGATGATTCTATGTTTTCCCATATTTTTCTTTGCTAATTCCCGATTGATTTCTTTGGTTTTATATGTATTTTTAAACCTTATATTGCAAACTCTACTTTAAGATGAAATAGCAAGCTCCTGAAGCAAGCATAATTTTAAACAAATGATCAGAGAGGCTAATCTTACTGCAACAAATGCTGCTTTAAATATTTAATTGAAGGAACTCGGCATGAATTGAGAGACAAGTAAACATTATTTAAATATTGTTATTTTATTAACCATACGCTTTTATTCTTATTTTTTACCGTTGTATACCACATGGAACCTCAATAGAGTAAAATGTAGATAAACTGTATAAAATAAATAAAAGCAGGATCTTGTTTTTAAATTCAAACAAGCAATTTGATTAAGTTCGTTCTAATAGGTTACTTTTTCAGCACTGAAATTCTTTCTTGCGCTATCCAATTTATTTAACTAGTGAGGTAAGAGGTCATGTTGCCCCTTGTCTTTCTGATAGGATGACTTTAAAATGCTTTTTGCCTGTTTTCTCTGGTCCAGAGTTCATATTTCTTCCTTGCATTATTTCATGTTACTGTTTAGCATGAAGAAAATCAATTGGGTTTCATAAGATTTTACCTGTTTCAGAATATTTTATATACAGCTGAGCTAATGTGAGTTTAGTTTCCTCCTGAATATGTGGAGACTTGTGTACGATTCTGTGTGCATTTTGTTCTCTTCACAGTTTGAGGTTCTCTCCTGCAATAGATTTTAGTAGTATCCCAAATTAAAATGATTTAGCCAATTAGTCAGAGGAAGGTTATGCTTCATGTTCCAGAAGTGTATTGATTTTGTTGTCAAACCCAGTTTATTGCCCAATTGATTTTTCCACTTTATCAAGTTGGTGATGTTGCTATTTATTTACATAGTACCATCATGGTGCATGACATTTTGTAGAGTACAGGAAGAGAAGACTTAATCTTAAAGAATATTCTGCCTAAAGAGCATAGGCATATAAATAAGTAATCAGATTTCACTTAGAGCAGAGATGAACAACCCTTATGGGTCTAGATTCACCCTTCTCGTTTTGCTTGAGGGCTGGAGAAGATACAGCAAATAATGTCATAAAGGTACCATATAAAAAGTTACCTCATGAGTTGGCCTAAAAGTGACAGTAGAGGAAAGACTGTTCTTAAGATGCTGAGCTATTAATGAGAAAAAAAGAAAAACACTGAAAATGCTTCATTAAATAATGAATAGGCCTCTGGTCGGTTTCCAAACAAAGGTTTAAGACAGGAATATGTGGGTTACCCAACAGTTTTAAATTGGAAAATATTCATTTGTCTTGAATGGATAAATGTCTGAAGTAGCAATTTTCTATGGTATATATTTCAATTTCAGTCCTAGGTAGTGGTGGATGTTTCTCTCCCAGAGCACAAAGAGAAAATATCTGCTGTGAACTCCACGAAGGTGTCAGGCAGGGCATCCAGCCAGTAAACACCCAGTGGTCCCGACTATACCCTGAATTAAGGGATTAAGTTACAAGAAAAAAAAAAGATGAAAATTATCCAATAGGGTAGAGTCTAGAGATGGCTGCTCAAGAAGAGGGCAGACAACAAATTATTTAAAAGCCTGCAGCAACAATCTCTCCCATAGGGCATTAATCAGCACTAGAACCCACCCACATGTCCAAGTGGCGTATTAAGTCTCACTGGTGCCCTAAGCACTGATAAATCTTGGTGCCCCCCTCCTTTATACATACTGTACCATATTCTCAACTTTGTGGTGCCCCCTTTGGGCCTGGTGCCCTAAGCACGTGCTTAGTCTGCTTAATGGTTAATACACCATTGCACATGTCACCTCACATGCCAGGAGGGATGTGAAAAATTGCTTAAAGGAGAATATTGTGATAGACACATGTATATTTATGTATGTGTGTGCTTGATTTTTATCCCACTTTTATTTTATTATTCTATAAGTAATTCAAGGTGGTGAACGTACATAATACTCCCTTTTTCTATTCTCTCCACAACAACAACTCTGTGAAGTGGGCTAGGCTGAGAGTGACTGGCCCAAAGTCACCTAGCTGGCTTTCATGCCTATGGCTGGATTAGATCTCACAGTCTCCTTTTTCTAAGCCAGCACCTTAACTACTACACCAAATTGCTAGTTCCCCCTCTCTTTTTTTCTATGGGTATTGGGCACTGTTCTTATAGTGAAAATAAAGCTCCTATTTTAGTGTTTTAATAAATAATGTCACTATTTCTTCGGTAACAGTTTTTTACTCAGGACACCTTATTTCATGATAGTGATGGTCAGACAGTTGGAAAAAACTGAGAGATCATTTAATCCAAACCCTTCTAAAAGCATTTCAGATGGATGGCTCTCTTGGGATGGTAGTCATGATGGTGATGACATAAAATGAATTGTCATCAACTGCTGCTATCTGAATGCCGAACGTGATGCAGCCTGGGAAGAGCATCCCTGCCCCATCCATTGTGTCAGCTCTTCAAGGTAAACCAGACTCGAACACCAAAGTCATGAATACTAAAATTGCAGTAACAAAACCTTGCAACTCTGAATATGCCTCCCCCTCTATGTTTAGGATAGAGAACTAGAGAGGGTCAAGTCTAACATGCTTTCTCAAATTACATTCCTGCTTTGGGCTCTCTTATCTGACCATTGCCTTGACTGCAGCTCTTTCTCCTCTTCAAAAGGGTTGTTCTAACCTCCCTTTCAAGAAAAGCAACACAGCATATGGGAAGCAATGTAGCCAGCTTCTATCCATTGTGTCAGCCACACAGTGTGGACCAGACTGAGAAACCAATGGCATATAGCTCAGGATGTCTCAGGTGCAACAACCAGATATACTTATGAAAACTCAAAGCCAGCAGCTTTCTTGTGTTCACAATAAATCACCAGATAAGATTTCATGGAACTGAAGAGGGTATCTGGGTCAGACTTCTTGTGGCTGCACAAGGACTCATGGTTAATTCCCTTCTTAACCCCTCCTCCCTGCTTGCCTGGGAGTTTCCCAACAGGAGCCCTTTTAATTATGAGAGCAGAATATAACAGAATATTGCAAGTCTTGATGTGCTCCCTCACACACACACTTTATCTTCATATGAATTTGAGAAGGGCTTGTCTGAAACATTTTCTCAAATTAATTTCTTGGCCTGGACTCAAATCCCTCTTATCTGACCATTAGCTTGGTAGGAGTATTTCCTCATGTCCTTCAAGGCCCTTCTTCCTCCTTCTACTCTCTGGCTCCTAAAGGATGAAGGATTGCCTCCCCCCCCTCCCCCCAAAGAATCCTGAGCTCCAACTGCCAGTTGTCCTCCCGAGTTGACCTTCCACTGTGTCCCCATTCATCTGCTGGATTTTCTCTTGTGGGTAGATTTGTGCATCCTGAAGGAAAATTTTCAATGGATAAAAGGAAATGAGGGCAAGAAATACTGGGTTTTGGGGGGTGGCTATCTAAAGGAACAAAAGACTGTAACTGTTTTGTTTTCTGAACCTGTGTAGAAAGCTAATGTCTGAAGGTGACTTTCCAAGCTTCTTCCTCAATTAATGCTGGTTACAGGACTTATAAATTTAAGCCCAGCTTTCTTCAACCTCCTCTGTACCTCCTTAGTATGGGAAAGAAAGCAGCTAAGCAAACAGAGTTCTTGGATTAACCTCAATATGTTATCAGAGAAAGCTTTTTTTAGACCTACCAGCATGCCTCAGGAAGATTGCTGGTTTTATTTGTAGTAACCAGACTACTATCGAATTGATTGATTGGTGTGGTGCAGACAATGTTGGGGTGGGGTTAAAGACTGACTCCAAAGACTGGGTTTAAATCTTTTCGGTTCTACAGCACCCAGAATGACTCTCCATTTATCATGGACTTCCAGTTTAAATTGCCTCACCAAGTTACAGGATGTATGTCATTTTAAGGCATTTGGAGAAAGTTCACATGGGAAAAGATAGACAAAGAGGCTGAGAGTAAGTTTTATCCTTGGAAACTTCTGCTAATCCGGATTCGAGGGTAGTGCCACCAGATGTAAAACATCATTTAAAGGAAAAAAATTATTCTCTAATCCTGGAAATTCCTGGCTTATTTCAATTAACCAAGCATTTGGATTTTGTCATTTATTGCTGTATCCTTTTCATGAAAATGTAGGGCTGCAAAGGAAATTTTACTTACTGGCCTCAGGCAAGCAAAGAACATCCAAATAATTATTGTATACTCTATGAAGCCTGCTTCTTTTAAGAAAATGGATCAAAGCAGGAAAATCCCAAATGTAAATTTTTACATAACTGAGTAAATTACAAGTTTTGTGAAGAGACAAACTGAAAGGAGTTGCACTAGGTTTTTTTTTAAAATGCTTGTGTGCTGAATTAGTCTACTATGGGTTGTATTATTTTCTTTTTAAAAATAAAGT